CTTTTTGACACCAAGAATGAGAAACGCTTTGTATTTTAATTTTAATTTCAGTATTTTAAAACAAAAATCAAATATCCACTCAATTCTTGTTTCTTAATACCCGTTCCTAAAATAAAAATTCAATGACCAAAAGAAACACTGACCAGTCTGCTGCCGGCCTGTCCTTGTTTAAACAATCTTCCTTTTTAGACGAGATTTCAAGAATCAATTAACAGCATTTTACGTAATCTAAACAAATTCAGATTTAACGATCAGCTGAACTAAAATAAAACGTGTTAAACAAATTAAAACCTTTAAAAAAGATTAACATGAGCTGAAAAACAGACTTAATCTGTGCTTCTAATGTCTTGCAGGCACTGATGTTGTCATCGTGAAGAGTGGCCGGAGGATATGCGGGACTGGAGGCTGCCTTGCTAATGCTCCTTTGCATCAAAACAAAAGTTATTTTGAGTTTAAGATTCAATCCAGTGGTAAGTGTTGGGTTTAAACCAAACTCCTATGTAAATAAACTTGACCATGTAGCACACATAAAGAGTGTGCTAATGTTCATGCTTATTTATCAAATGACCTTAATATGTATGATTATGATGAATCGACTTTATCATAAACATGAAGGTTGTTTGATAAATGTTCAAAATAATCTCTGATAATTTTAAATACTTGAGTCTTACATTTTTAGGTGTGTGGGGAATTGGCGTGGCCACTCAGAAAGTGAATCTTAACCAAGTGCCTTTGGGCAGAGACACAAACAGCCTGGTTCTGAGGCATGACGGGTCCGTGTACCACAATAATGAAGAGAAGAATCGACTGCCTGCAAACAGCCTTCCTCAGGAGGGTGACATAGTGGTGAGTGAACATTTTTATTTCCTTTATTGACTTTTTTATATAACCCTATCGAAGCTGTATATGTGGTACAAAATAGGAGACCTTGACTGTTTCTTTTCAAAGATATAGTTGTTCCTAAAGTTGGTGTGCAAACAGTGTAAAGTACATTTTTGTGCAGCTGTCTGCAGTTTACGATCTAGTGTGTCGTAACATTTTCTATTGACCAAAGGAGGCGCTCACTGCAATGCAATAACCATCATGGTGCTTGTTGCTGTGAGAGTACACACATACATATCTTGATAACACACTTATGGCCCCCATGAACAGCAGAAATCCTATTTCCTCAACTATACAAAACTCCAAAATATACCTGTGTGTGTGTGTGGATTAATACCTAGACACAGGAAATGGGTCATAGAGAAATCAAAAGATTAACAGAGTCCAATCTAGTTTACAAACATTTCGAGATGGTAATTAGGAATAGAGTAATGATTTGGCTCTGAAAAAATGAATTTATTATCCATGAGTTTATCTCATTTTGTGAGGAAGATATTGAACAGAATGTGGTTATTTCCACAATATGTCTTAATAGTATTGCTACAAAAACAAGGGGTATCATAAATTTGTTTCATCACCTGAAATGTCCACTGCTCTATGAAGACACATTCACACACATTAACCTACATCAACTATAACATGAAATTTTATGTGCTGTGAAGCAAATTAATGCTTACACAGTTCCTAGAATCAGTCCAATAAAACAAAACAAAAAAATTGATAGTGGAAAAAAATCACATCCACTCCACCAAAATATATCATTATTCAGAGCCCAGACTGAGGTGGTTTGGACATGTGCAGAGGAGGGACGGTGGGTATACATATTGGTAGAAGTATGTTATAGGCTTGGGCTATGTTAAGGTATTTAGTTATACTGTGGTATCAAAATATGGTGACAGTATGTAAAAATTATGACGTAATGAGTCACAGGAGGTGATTCACCAAATTTCCACAAGACTGCTATGAAAACTGGGACACAAACATTCGAGGCTCATTCAGAAGATGCACTTTAATGTTAATGATGCATGTTCTGACCACCTCAACTCATTTAGGACAAATGGAGGGGTGTGGGTAGCAGAGACACCCCTCTGCCTCTTGACTTACAAGAGAGGTATTAAAAGAAAAAAACAAAACAAACAACAATTGTCCACGTGAGGTTAGAGGCAGACAGGTTACTCTCCGGCTCCTGAAAAGGTGGGCCAATGTAGTGCTGACTGACAGCTTCAGGGACCAACCAGCTGCTGGTTCTTTTTTTTTTCTTCTGGTTCTTAAATCAAACAAATAGCTGGACTCCTTTCAGATTAAACTTTTGTTGATTTTATTTTATTTTTTCCGAGACCCGCGAGTCCCTTGCTGCAGACAAGGAAATGGCTACAAACTTTATCGTCACAAAGACTTTGCTCACTGAAAGCATGCAGCAGCATGGATACAACCATGATAAGAGTCAGATTATTTTGAAACTTAAAACCCTGAAAAGACATTCTGTATTTATTCATGTATAATACTAGAAATTTATCTATAAAGTCACCCATAAAGTGTGTATGTGTGTGGGTGGGTGGGGTAGTATTATACATGGGTTTTTGATGATTAGATTATTTTTATACTTTTTAAGATCAAAAAATGATGCTCGTATTATACTTCAGATCATATTATACATGAATTAATACGGTAGTTCGAATTATTTGGATCTGTTCAACATAATAAGAGGGAAAAACATTCTGTCACTCCTTTCCTGCTGCTACTCTGAAGTAAGAAAAGAGGTTCCCCAGAACAGTGACCAAAATAACAAACATATTTTAATATGTGTCACACAGTAACTGTTGGATATGGGCACCAGTGACCATTTTTCCTCTGAATTGTAAAACTTTTACAGATTAACAATAGTCTAAGTGATTATTTATTGTATTGACAGAAATCACTGACTGATGCTTTTAGATTACTTCCTGTTGCAGTGGTGACATTCATGACTGGCTGTAAAACACGACTCGTTTTTGTTCTGCCTTTTTTAATCACTTTTTGCACAGAATTTTCACTCACATTCAGCTTGGATGAAGGTGTCATGCATCATGCTTGTGTAGTGAGCATTAAAACTTGAAGGAGTCATGGCTCAACTGAAGAAAGAGCCTTTGTTTATAGGGGCAGATCCAAGTAACGCTGTGGGTCACAAACTAACAGGCGTTTCTTTTTTTCCCTTTCAGTGAAAATACTGAGTATCTCTTTCATATCTGAACACACTTTACTGGTGTTCAGTGAGTTCACACGCACTTTCTGTTCTTCAGGGCATGACTTACGATCACGTGGAGCTGAATTTGTATCTTAATGGAAAGAACATGCACTGTCCTGCTTCAGGGATCCGAGGCACCGTATATCCAGTTGTTTATGGTAAGTTTATTCCTTCTCGTCATCTTCAAGAAGTATCAGTTATTTACAGGGTTACTTTAGCAGAGTTACTTTTTTTGTGAGGTTCAGTGTTTGGTTTGATGTGTTTATGAACATTTATGTACAATTTTTTATTAAACATTGAAGTGGTCCCAGCTTTAAATGTGTTGTGTTTTTGGTAACATTTAGAATCTGAATCAACGTTTTCATGTGGTACAGGAGGTGTTCAGTCCTCTGTCAGTTGCACTTGTTTTTCACAAGAGGGCAGTGTTTGTCCATTTCTCATGTCTAAATGCGACACTCGGACAACTTTTTAATCTTTTATAAAATGTAACAGTGGGTATAATGACTGATTTTCATCCATGTGAAGTTTGTTGAGTTAGTGAAATCCGTTTGAAGTTTTATGTTGGAAAAAAAGACATTTACCTCCTACTTCTGAGTTTCTTACACCTGTTCTTGTTTTACACCCAACGCCACATTAACATCAAATTTAATTCTCAGTCAGGCGCTTGGGAAATGATGCTCATAGTTACGTGCTAGAAAATCTGTTTACATCTTTGAAAAACAAACCTTTTTTAACAACAAACCTGTCAGGTTTGCTATGTCAACATTTATGCATGTACAGAAATAGCACTGGGGAAAAAAATCTTCACTCACATCTTTCATTATTAATGACTTTGAATAGAAACAATCTTTTACCAAAGGCTGACTTAAAAAATATATATTTTCCTTTTTTTCCTTTAACAGTTTGAACTTGGGTTGTGCAGTATTGACATAAATATTTATCACGATTAATTAGATTAATACATGATTAATAGATGACAATAAGCACTTGCATGTGGCCTTGGTCAACATTTCCTGTCTTTCCTCGTTCTCTGGTTTATGCCGGTGTTTCTGATTGAACAGGTTTGTAGAGTTAGGGTTAGTGTTAGCTGCTCTACTCTGCCTTCCACCATTACCAATACGTCATCATCACATGGCACTAATTGCAATAATTACAAAGTGGCAAATGCTAATTGACAGTTTTACTGACAATTAATTGCGCACGTTACAATTTTGCCCAACTTTAGTTTGAGCTAAGTTGAGCAAAGTGCAAGTTCACCCACACCATTCTGACAAATACATATATGTGTATTTTTATGGTGTTTCATCTTAAAAGTTGCTGTTTGACATTTTTGCTTCATTGTTTTGGCTTTGAACTGCTCCCTATAAACTCATAGTGTGAGTGACAAGGTAAAAACTGTTTGGCTGTAAATACATTTCCATTGAACTTGATTTAACGTTGGTTCATGTACACTGTTTCTTTTTCTTAAGATAAACATTTTAAACAGTCCTGCATGCACACTACACTGTGTATAAAGGGTCAGACACTAATCTGGGTATGATTACCCAACTAAAGGAAAAGTAATCTGCTGTTGCATGTTTATATTAGAAAAGTAACAGAGCTTTCCCACGGCAGATATTTTGACCTGACTCAGAAGGAAAAAAAGTTCAAGTTTTATGGATAACAGCAAAGATGAACTGACTGATGTGCTCTTTCTACTGCTATAACTACAGTCACTTTAATTAAAATGTTTTAATAGAACTGGTTTCGGAGTACTGTTAGTGTTTATATAATACAGATGCAATTCAAATTAGTTTTCTAACATTTAAAGCCACTTGTGTTTTTATTTTTCAGCAAAACTAGTCTTGTGATGAGTCAGTCTTTTGTTTTCTAGTTTGGATTTTTATTATAAGGTTAGTTAGCAGCAGAAAATTGAAGTTTACTAGTAGAATTTCAGTCCAGTCCGACATGGGAAAATCAAGTTTACTGTAAGTCTGATTTTCGAAGGTGTCTAACGTTGTTTCTTCATCTTTGTTGCAGTGGATGACAGCGCCATTCTAGACTGCCAGTTTAGTGACTTCTATCACACACCTCCACAAGGATTTGAGAAGATTCTGTTTGAGCAACAAATCTTCTAAATGAACATTTTAGCCTCTGTTGGTGTTTCTGGCCTCCTCTGAATCTTATATCAGCTTCTGTGACACTACAGTTTGACTTTGATGAGATATTATTATATGTGGCTTGAGTGCGTTTCATGTTGTTTCATGCCTCTTTTCTGCTGCTCTGGACCAGATTTCTGATTGTTGTTCTGCCATGGTGGATTATCAGAGCTCGCTCAGTCAGATACAAAAAACAAGTAAAATAATCGCCTTGTGTCTGTGGTAATCAATCTATGTTAACTGAGCAGCTTTCAGTTGCTGCTCACGTCCACAGTGTATGTTTAGATACCAGACAGTGGTTGTAATGGTAAAATGTTCCCACTTTCAGGATCAGAAGCCATGTTTGTTTGTTTTTTATCTTTTTCATGTTTACCCTTCTAAATATTCAACTGACATCAGCATACATCATATATTTATTACTATTTATTTCACTTGCAGATCAAAGTGATGTGACACATATGTTTTGCAAGAGTTGGTAGAATTTTGAAGGGTGAATCACTAAAAGTGGGCACAGGACTCCATTTATTTTGAGCTTTTTGTGAAGATTTATGGAGATGATTTAAAATACTAACGCTTGTAAAGCAGTTCACAGATAATTTGCTGAAAAATATTTTAACACTGAAATGTTCATCACGATTTCTTTTCTAATCCCACTTATAAACAGCTTGTTTCACATCCTGAAATATCACTGTCTGTTTTACATAACCTAAAAGATTACCAGCGCTGGAGCTGGCCGTCAGTGTGTGTGTGTGTGTATATATATATAT